CTCGCCACTTCTCGCTGCCTCTCCCCCGCCCACCCGGGCACCGGGCTGGACTGTCTCGGCTTGCCACAGCGCTGCGCTGAAGTGCCCTTCTGACCCATCCTTGCAGAGATTCCTTTTGCCTCCCTCTGTCTTGGGCTGGCACCTCTCCCATGTGCTGCCCTGGGGATCTGAGCTCTTTCCGCCTTTCCATCCCCTGCACATCCAGCTTCCTCTGGTTTGCTAACTCCGCCCTGGTGGAACCGCCTGCCAACTCCCCAGTGTGCGTCCCTCTTCTTGACCATCACTTCCTCTTTCATTCTTATCTTTGATGGATTCTGCTGCCACTTCCCTCTTCTTACCCCCCAAACCTTTTAAATCATTTGAGAGGGGCTTCAGAAGGGGGCACAGGTAGGTGATTGATCATGTGCCTAATGGGCCATGCTCACTGGGAGGCCTAGCAGTGATTTCTTAAGCCGAAACAGCCTTACAGACCACATAGTTCATTGTGCTATGTCCTTAACACAGTCTCCAAATACTTGAGAGATAGTTGCATTCACAAGCTATGCCTTGAAGCACTAAGGACATTGCTAGAACCTTAAGCTTAAAACTAATGTTAAATACCTACAGAGGTGTCCAACCCATAGCCCAGGATGGCTATGAATGTGGCCCAACACAAAATCATAAATTTACTTAAGACCTTTTTTTGTTCATCAGTTTTCATTAGTGTTTCTGTATTTAATACGTGGCCCAAGACAACTCTTCTTCCATTATGTTCCAGAGACACCAAGAGGTTGGACACACCTGCTGGAGAGTGGTCTGAGAAGGCTGGAGTATTTTGAAGATGGAGACAATGTTTCCATCTTCAATGGAGGCCATGATTCTTAGACAATGCAGAGAATGTCTAAGAACCATCTGGATATAGAACTTGACCAGTACGTTTGTGCTTTGTTCTGGTTGTACTTGTCCTTCCTGATAACAGTATGTTCTCTGTGCTTTTATTCTACAAATTTTAATGCATATTACATTCTTGGTGTCCCATATGACTTCCTACTGTATGTGGTGTATTGGAGTCACACATACAGACACAAATAGGATTCCGGAAGCTCACTTTAATGTAGTTCTGTGTGTGTGAATGTGAAATAGTTAAAAGCTTTTTAAAACAGTTCCCCGTATCTCATCTTAGATTCTCCAAGGTACGTGAGAGCAAGTGCAGTAAAGAGAGAAACAGATTTTGGTTGAAAACAGGGCAATAACACTAGAATTCAAGACTGCTGAACCCCTAATTTAACAATAAGGAGGGAAAAGGAAGAAAAATGTGGTCAGGTCGCTCAGGGGAAGGGACAGAGAGAGTGCCGGGGAGCGGGAGCCAGGTCATGTCCCCTCTTGCCAAGTGGCCTGTCAGTGCGGATTCACAAGCCCAGCTGTGTGTCTTTAGAGTGACTTAACAAAAGGCAAAGAGATGAAAGAGAAATAAAAACAAAACAGGTGGGGCGATATGATTACACAAAGGGGAATTGAAAGAAAGTTGATATTGTTAAAGCATTAATAGGACAAACGGGAACTTTATGTAATTTCTTGAAACTTAAGTAGGAAACAGAGCAGTAAAGCTTGACCTGCATTAGCCTAAGAAATTTTCTGGAGCTCCTCTTAACACCTGGGCCTGCCTGCAGCACCCCCGCCCCATGTGCAGAGCCCTGTTGGGGGCGGCTCCACACACCCCCCCTCTCCGCGGCCCCAGTTCTGAAGACTCTCCATCACAGATCAGTGGTGAAACCAACTCATCCTGTCCTCACAGTAATGTCTTTCAACTTTGGCGGCACTTTTGAACCACCTGGGGAGATTTTTAAAATCCTGGTGCCCAATATGGGGACCTTCCATTCCCATGCCACTGGTCAAAGCAAGTCACCAGGCTTTCCTGTGCAGGTCGGGGAAGCCCACTGACAAAGCCACCACACGTGGAGGGCCTGCGTCATTAGTGCTAAGCACTGTTTCAGGCGCTGGCTGCTGAGTGAACAAAATCAACTCCTTGACTTCATTGTACTTACCTTCTGGGAAGCGGGCCCAGGTTATAAACAAATACATGCGAGAGGCCAGTCAAAGGAGGTAGGGAAAGAGCACTACTTAATGTTTGGGGTTCAAAGAGAGCCTCGGAGTGAGGGTGAGAGGGAAATTCAAGAGTTAAAGATTTTAGCCTTAGCTGATAGGCTTAAGTAATTAAAGCACCTGGGAAAGTTGTTATTCCAGGAACTGAATTACAGGCCCTATGTGACTCCATGAGGTCCACAAGCAATTCAAGTTTAGTGCCCCAGGGCGTCTGCAAGCAATGGAGATGGTATCTGAGTTGTGGGTCAACAGATAAACCAGGACTAGGAAAATCACTGCTGGACTGCAACTCTTATCGGATTAACCTTTTTTCCGAACTCCTTACCTACCCTTCTCCTTTATAAAAAGGTCGGCCTGAGATGAGATGTTAAGGTGGATTTTGAGGGTAAATAACCTGCCGTCTTCTCAGGTTGCCAGCATCTGAATAAAGCACCCATGAAGATTCAGTCCTTGTCTCTACTTATAGGTTCTAGTAATAAAGGCAGCTCAAACTCTGGCTCTCCACTTTCGAGGTGACACAGAGGAAACAGAAGGTCCCGAGGAGGCGGGACATGCAGATATCTGGGGGCTGAGTATTTCTCATGGAGAGTCCAGAGGAGGGGAGTGCTCAGGGCACCTGAGGAAAGCTGTGTGCACAACGATTCAGGTTGAACAGACACGTGGGAAACGGAAGGGGGAGGCTATGGGAAGCCTGGCGGCTGGCTCGTCGCTCTCAGCACTGCAGGCCGGGTCTTCTGCCCAGGCGGGCCCGCTCTCCTCAGCAGGCCGCATGCCTGTCCTCTGTCTTTTTTTACCAGGGGTCAGCCAGCAATTGTCTTCTCTTCTAGGAACCAATCGGAGCCATCATAAAGGTTTTATAAGCAGCAGAACGTTTCAGAAAAGCTAACTTTCAAGAACAAGGGCTGGTATTTCTTGATGGGCCTGCTTCCAGGAGCAGACAGTTTCAACTCAAATCTGTCCTGGGCCAGATACTCAGCGGGCAGAGCCCCCTAAGCCGGGAAGGGAGACCTGGAGTCTCTGTTGGTTGCTCTTGAAACGCTGAATAGCCTCAGGGTGTCCGGGTTTGACATTTACTCTGGGAGTTTACTTGACCTTTATCTCTGTTTCCTCCATTCAGCTTCAAGTCATTCAAGGGGAGCAGTAGGAGGACAATTTAGAAACTTCTCCTTAATCCCACTGTTAGATAATTTAATGCCCATATAATCGAAGGCACTCTGAGGGGCTCAATGTGAAAATCTTATGTATTTGGGAGACAATGCAGCACAAATAACCATAGAAAACAGCAGCCAGGATAAAGGCCATGTACAGAGAAGGGTGCCAGGACACTTTTTCTCTAAAGGGCTGGAAGGGAAATATTTTAGGTTTTGCAGGACACGAGGCTGAATCAAAGCTATTACATAGGTACTAACACAATAATAGAGAAAATACATTTCCATATTTTTAAATGAAATTCAAAATTGAGTCTAATTTTTTGGAAATACAGATCTATTAATAAGAATGGTATCTTTTTTGGACACTTGCTTTATTGGGGTTGAAAATAGTGTTCCTGATATTGCACTGATTGCAAATGTCTTGGTTCATGAATAATAAAGAAATAGGCAGTTGGCTAGATTTGGCCTATGGGCCATAGTTCTATACCAACTGGTACAGAATACATGGCTTCAATGTTGAAGTATCCCTGGAGGTTCTGGCTAAAGTTACAAGGAGAAGAGGAAAAAAAAAGAGAAACAGAAACATGAGAATTAGAAGAAGTATTTTGAACTATTTGCAATAATATGACTGTATACCTATAAAACAACAGAATCCATAAAATGTTGGTACTAATTTCACTATAACTATTAAAAATTTCATAAACGTTGCTAGAGACATCAACTTACAAAAATCAGTAGCATTTCTCTCTACCAGCAAAAACTCATGATAACAACTAATGGTTTAAAAAAACACACACACACAAACAGCCTTTTCACAGAGATGGGGTCCAAGGTGGAGAAGGAAGCCCCTGCCACTTCCAAAGTGGAAGCCAAAACGAAGGCTTTGAATGCAAAGGAAGCACTGCTGAAAGGCATCTGCAACACACACACAAAAGAAAACCTGCACTGTCACCCAGCTTCCAATAGCCAAAGACACTGTGGCTTTGAAGGCAGCCTAAGTGTCCGCCTCCAGGAGACACAGCTCGACCGCTCTGCCATCATCACGTTCCCCGACCACCGAGTGAGCCGTGAAGAAGACGGAAGACAGTGCCTTTGTGTTCACTGTAGATGTCAAGGCCAACATGCACCACATCAAACAGGCTGCGAGGAAGCCCTGCGACGTTGACATGGCCAAGGTCAACACCCTGTTCGGGCCTGAGGGAGAGAAGAAGGTGTATGTTCACCTGGCTCCCAACTGGGATGCTTTTGATGTTGCCAACAAAACTGGGATTATCTGACTTGAGTGAAGCTGCTAATTTTAATTATAAATTTTACACCATAAAACAAACATACTGGTGAAAGTATATAAGAATTAACAACCAAGAATACACAAGAAAGCTACCAAGAAGATAAATTTTAAACTCTATGAAAGGACACAGATGATGATCTGAATACATTGACAGACACGGGGCGCATTTGGTTTTGATCCAATGAGCCACGTGCCAGAGCATCCATCTCCCAGTGCCCCTGAGAAGGAGAATTTCAGGGTGGGGCAAATGTGGGGCGGGCTCCTAGTTTGCTTTATCGGGTCACTAAGAAATGGGCAGGTCAAAGGGCAGGCAGCACTACAGGGACAGAGTATGACTGCAGGGGAGGGACAATCCCAAAACCCAGGAAGCTTCTGAGAAGCTAGAGGACCATTAATGGGCCCAGTGCCAAGGAAGTCCCTTCCTTTGCTTGCTGTCAGCCCCATGTCTCTCACATATGCAAAGATAACCACATGACTGCAAGGTGTATCGTTTATTGACCAGGTACAAGAAGGGTTATTCATGGTAGAGTTCTCCTGGGTATGGCATAGAGAGTCGGAAATAAGCTTTTGATTATTAGTAAGTTGATGAGTCCTTTCTAGACATGTAGAGAAGATCCTGAAGTTTCAGAGATAATGCCTTCACGGATGACAGTGCTGGAAATCAGGTCACAGAACTTGTCACCAGGTGACATGGGGACCATGGAATGAAGTGTTCAGTTGGCACTAAATAAGGAGAGAGAGAGTACACAGAAGCTCATAAGTACTTCCTGGGTTGAACTTAAGACAGAGGATTTCTACAACAGAGAAAAATGGTGAAGAAATAGGTATCATTCTGCACTCTAACCTTTGCTACTTGCCGCAACAGGATGAAGGAGGGCATTGGGTTGATGATTTTTCTTTTTCTATTACTGATCCCATCTTACCCTTCCCTAAACTGAGTCTATGAAAAGAGGGAGGATTCCAGCCAGTGGAGGACCCTAGGGTGGCTTCTGCCATCCTCAGCATTAAAGGTTTTGAAGAATTTTTGATAAGTCAAGAAAGAATGGCAAAAACCATAGTTACCATTTATTAAATGCTGGCTTTACGCAAGCCATAGGTGCTAAAACCTTCCCATATATTACCTAACTAAAGTCCCACAATATAGCAGAGGGAGGAAAGAGGTGAGGAAATTCAGAGCCTTTTTTCCAGGTGGAAGACAACTGGAAGGTCAGGCAGCTCAATTTCCGGGACAGAAGTTAAGGATGTGCAGAGATCAAAGGAAGACAGTAGTAGGGGAAACTGGAGGGTGAGACCACCGATTCTGGCCTTGGAAGATGGACAAAGCTCAGAAGTGTATTTGAGTTTCCTACTCACACCCTACTATTCTTTCCCTATTTCAAATTTTAAGTCTTAATGATTTTTAGGACATTATCAATTACTGAGGCCTTTTCAGCAGCAGGCTATCCCGTAAGGTACATGTCGTTGTTTTCCTTTTAATCGTTAGGTCATTTTTGCTGTAAAGCTCACGAAGGAGTGGGTCCTGAAGCCAGAACACCCAACTCCACATTTCGAGCTCACCCCGCAAGCTTCTTTACCAGGTTGTTTGTATCGTAATCTTTGGGCGTAAAGCCCTATTGGTTTTGGAGGCAGCAATCCCTGGCCTGCCCCCTCTCCCTCAGACGTCACCCACCTGGATGCCTCGGCCCCGTGGCTCCCCCGGGCCTGGAGACAGCGATCTGAAGAGGCAGGACAGAGCACAGTCAACCACCAACCCCATTATTTCCCAGCGAGAAACCAAGTGATTTTCTAGGGTAGGACAGAGGGGGCCCATTGGAGGTGTTACCTTCTCCTGCATTTCTCCAGTCAGTGACCTGGGAACTTAGGAAGAGGAGCCCAGAGAGAGCTAAGCTTACCGACGTTGGTCAGGTCCAGTATGTTTTCCTTAGCAATGCCATGTTTTTGGCAAAGCTCCTCAAACCTTTCCTTGAGTTCTGGACTCACATCTGGTTTCCGGCCTGTGGGAAGAGTGACAGTAACGGCTGCGTCTTGTGTGTTGGTCATTGAGACCCTGGGGGCAGGGGGCCCAGATGGACGGGAAACTGAGGGGGGCTTAGGCAGGAGTCAGGGTTGGGCTCTGACCTGTCTTGACTTTGACATTTTTAGGACCGTCCCCCGGCACGGTGAGAGAGTCCATCATTGCCATCACCGAGCCCGAGGGGCCACCCCGGTGAGCGCCTCTCTTCGGAGGAGGGCGGATGGCCCCGGGTAGGATTGGGAGGACTACTTTGTTTCCAGGTTTCCCATTTTCCCCTCTCCCCATCTCATGATGAGTGTCAGAATAAATATACTCTACCATAGAGCATCATCATTTCGAATGTTCCCTCACTGGTGAAATTAATAAGATGAAAAATAGCATAGTTATAATAGTCTGTTTCAATTAGGCTCATTGTAGCGAATCCAGCATCTGTGAACATACAAGAATACAGCTCAGAATTGCTTAGGTCCATGGGAATCAAGGGAAACTCTTCACCTATTTTCTTTCACAGAATAGATGCAAGTGCATACCCGGAAAAGATAAAGTGTGATATCTAAGGCCTTCCTGCATCTCCCTGGCTTCACACGGCAGCGTCTAAGGGTAGAGCTGACTACTGGTAGAAATTCCACCACTGGTCATTGACCGTTAGTGGTAGAAAAATTCAGCCACAGCAACAACCTCCCCTCTATCCTCCTCCCTGAGCCTTACTTACAGCCCTCAGCCATCTCTGCCAACTATGTGTCTCTCTCCTGTCCGTAAGCCCACTGGCATTCCACACCCGACACGCTCGCCAAGCAGTGTGCTGTGTCAATGAATACCAGGAGTCATCAGAGAGTGGGCAGAGAATGAGCAGCTTTCCTAACAATTTATGGTTTTGTTTAGTTGTCTTTCTGCCAATTTTATTTTGTTGCAGGTGGTACATATGACCATATTTCCATCTATTCTGATGGTATTATGTGGCAGGTATTGGCCTTTGCACACAAGATTCTCCCAGATTGAGGATACTGGCTATTAGATGGCCCCCTTTGGATTACCTAAATAAGCATTGATCAGAAATTGATCAAGATCCTAAGGATGTTGTGGTTTAGTAAATTTCTTGCAGTTAGAAGTAGAATTTACAAAGACTTTTTGTTGTATACTTACAGATAACATTACATACACCGTTCTCTGCTGTTGAGTCACAAAACAAAGAAGTTTCAATACACTCTCCATTGAGCCTGTAAAACAGAATGAGCTGATTGATGTCCAAAAGGTATTGATGGGGCTGGCCCCTCACACTCCTGGGAGTGTCGGATTCTAATTAACTGTTGAACATTTTTTGTAAAAATTGGAAACAGGTTTAATTTACCTTATTTCACTTTATTTGATACTTGAAGGAAGAGTCTACCACTGAAATCACCATTACCCCACCCCCCACTACTTGGCACTGTTACTGTTACTACAGCCACCTGTCTAGATAACTGGCTCAGATGTGCCAGCATCTCAGATAAATGCCCTGCAAACATTGTCTTACTCAGTCCTCAGAAGGAAAAAAAAAACGTAAGAGAGAATTATTATCATCCTCTTATACCTAAGGGAAAATTGGGGTGGAAAGAGATAAAATTTCTAGGTCACACAACTAGTAAGAAGTAGTTTCAAGAGAGGGCTAGGCTATTGATCCCCAATCCTATGCTCTTAACCTAAACTATATTGTCACACTACTCACAATTCTGATACCCTCTGCCCCTTACCTCCTCTACTCCCATTTCAAACTATTCCTGCCACTGATTCTTATATCTGAATCTAGAGAAGGGGCAATGTCCTCAAGTCGTAAATCAGTGCCTCATAAGAGACTCTGATGTGGATACAAGCCCACAGTGTATGTGTAGATCTGCATGTGTGTGTTTGTGTTCTGTGTGTGTGTGTGTGTGTGTGTGTGTGTGTGTGTGTTTAGTGGTCCAAGACAATACTTGGGCTTCTGTTTTCCCTTTCCCAAGTGAAAAAGGCCACACTTACTTTACATCCAATTTGATTGTCATAGAAGAGTTGTCCCAGGCTTGGATGTATTCCACAAAACCCCTCATTACACTATTTTCTTCTATCCTTTCTTTGATATTTGAGGCCAAGAGAATGGTATACCACTCCCCTGAAATCTGCAAATAATCAGGAAAAATGATTGGGAAAGAAAAGAAGAGAGGGGACACCACATGAACCCTGTCTCCTCGAACTCTGGCCCATGGGCCAGGACTCATAGCTGTGATGTGAAGATAGAATTAGAACTCGGGTCAACTGGCACCGCATGTAAGGCTCTTTCCACTGTCCCTGCAGGGAGGACAGAGGTCCCCACGTGTTGTCATCTTTCCACATGGCACAACTGCTCTTGGTCCAAGGTCAGAAACTACACCCTTTATCTAACATGTCAAAAACCCCCACCCTCCCGGAGGGCCGCTGTGCTTCAGAATCCCCACAGCCACCCTCCAAAGTCAGAACTCCCTACGCTCCCCCGGCTCTACCTTTGACATAGTAAAGTTGCTCATCACGACATCATGGTCCCCTCCATGATGGGCACAGACCAGAGTCAGCCCCAGACACAGCAGCAGCAGCTTCATCTTGGGAGGAATGACACTGACTCAGCGACAGTCACTTGGGTGAGTCTCTCCCTTACGGTGGCTCCACCCCCCAGCCCTCGGCCTTTATATTCCTTCTGGGTCCAGGTGTCTGTCCGCGGGGCTCCACCTCTTCCCCTCCCACTGCACGGATGGTCTGTATTCCCCATGGGAGGCCAAGGCTGAGCCTGCCCATCTCACCTCTTTCAGGTCTACTTAGTGACCTGAAAGTACTCAGAACACACACTCAGAAAAAATAAGTAAATAAAAAGACAGTGGATGCCCTGAAAGGCTGCCTTTTGAAACCCGATTTAACTGTGAAATCAGAAAGCCAATTGTGTGTGGCAAGAATGGAGTACACCTGGGAAATGGCGTGTATGGCTAACCCATGTTCCACCACTCACGTGGTGTAAGGAAATAAGTGAGTTACTCCATCGTAACCAGCCTCAGAAACAAAGAAACCGTCTCTGCCAAAGACAATAGTACCCATCACAGAGCAGTCAAATAGAGCTGATTAGAACAGGGTTGGATAAAATAATGTCAGGAAAGTATGGTGTCTGGTATTGAGCACATTTTAACTCCTTTTCCTTGTTGTCTGAATTCAACCACAATGAATGAACAAATGTTAAATCACTACATATGCCTTGCTATATGACATAGATCTCTAAGAGAAGTAAAAGATGTCATCCATTTCTTCAAGCAACTTTCGGTGGAGGTGGGGAGATGCTTTATATGCTCCATGAACACTTCATTCTGCAAGCTGATGAAGTAACCCAACTGAGAGGGACCAAGTCCAGACATTGTGGGTCAGAAAAGGGGGTGATCCTGGGGAGGTGGTGTCACAGAGAAAGGTCTTAAGAGCACAGGCTTTGGAGTCGCAGAAACCTGGGCTTCATTCCTACCTCTGTCACTTTGAAGCCATGAGGACAAATTTAACCTCTTGGAGCCTTAGTGTCCTCTGAACGGGGATAATCGTACCTGTCTGCAGATGGCTGTGGGGATTCAGCAGAATGGTGTGCGTAGCCCCCTCAGACACACGTCTGGCGCTGCTGGGCGGGGCGGGCCAGAGAATCCTTCCCGGGGAGGCGGGGCTGGGGGGCTGTCCTGAACGACAGGCAGGGTGTGGAGGTGTGGGACGCATGTGGGAAGGGGGTTCCTGGTGAGAGGACTGCTGTGACTTGGGCCCCTGCGCCCGCAGCTGGGGCTTCTTAGAAGTTACGGCTCATTTCTGCCTTGTGCTCATGGTCCCCTTCTGTACCCCCAAAACAGAAAGAGGTCAGCGCCATGGGAGGAGCCGGGCACAAGGTGGCGAACCTAGGAATTGTGGCGTTGGCTCTGTGGCCCGCTTTCAAACGTCCTCCCAGCCCCTGTGTGATCGTTCCCAGGGCCCGCCCTGCCGCTATCCCGCCACTGGTATTTTGCGGCCTCCACAACCTCAGGCACCGCGGACGGGCTGCAGTGTGTCCTGCCCCTGAGACAGGAGGACCAAGCGTGACAAGTGGTGGCAAAGGCTGTGTACTCCATTTTGTCCCATTGATTGTCTCCAAGAGCAGGTGGCAGCCTACGAGCAACCAGGTCTGCAAGATGAACTGGGCTGTGACGCTGAGGGGAGGGTCAGCCACCGCGGCTGCCCACGCCGTCTCTATCCCATCCCAGCCCCGCCAACTCTGCACCCGTATCAGAGCGCCATACTGCAACTCCCCGCTGCCAGGCGCTCCACCGTGTGCCCCAAGAGAAAACAAGAAGTGAAGGCATATGCCACATAATGTTCTCCTATCCAGTTTTAGTTTTTGCAACTCAAGCAGCCATATTGCAACTTTCTGTTTCTGGTAGTGACACGTTTCTTTTTGCCTTTGTTCCTACCATAGCACCGGATACATAGCCTCACATTTGGAATGACTGTACATGAAATCCTATATTAAACGCTTAGATATTCTTGTTATTAGAAAGAACCTTATAGAAAATCTGTTTGTAAACAGGAATATTGCTTTGGGGGAGTGACCTCCTAATTTATATTATTGGATCCCAGGAGGAGGGAGAGAGCATAGGACTGAAGTCTACGATCAGAAGCGTATGGTGGAGATGACCTTACCTTCTAAGATCTGAGTTGACTACTCCCCACCCTGATTATTCACTTCCATTTCAAACCTCCCGAGTTTTCGGTGGTCAGTGTGAGCATTGCGAGTCCAGTCTATAAACACTGAGACAGGAAGGTCAAAGCTGCAAAAACACCCAAGAGGTGGGAGCCATCTTGCCAGGGGCTTGGTAAAAGAAAACCCGGACAAAACCACAGCTGAAGTAATATTAGATTAATCAGAAGTGGTCCTCTGCTTCACAACAGGACTCCTGCAATAGAAATTAAAGAATTTCTACCATAGAATTAAATATTGCTCCTGTATTGCATTTAAATCCTTGTGTTAGGAGCTATGGATTAACAGTCTGCAAATACTCTCACAACTTATAGATGACTAACAAATATCACAGTTAAATGAATTATCAACTTTTATATTGGGAAGAATGGGAAAAGGTAGAGATGGGGAAAGATGAAAAAAATAAAAATAAAATAGGTAATCCCTGATGTTAGCATCTCCCAGGTGATGGTGTAAGTACAAGCAATAAGGGTTCAATTTACAAAAGTTCACTGGCCACCTATCAATAGGGAATACATTTACCATCTAATGCAAGGTACATGAATTACATTTGATTATAGAGTAACTTTGTGTGTGGTGTAGCAAGTTGCTTTAAGAGATGGTGCTACTACAGGATTTTTGAAAACTAATGATTCAGCTTAATTCCACAAACATCACCAAATGCGAGCTCTACACTAGGCCTGTGCCAGGCATTTTGAGAGCTAAAGAGATAAATAAGATAGAGGCTGTGCCCTCCAGAGACTCCTGGTGAGTGTGAGGATGATTTGAAAACAATCTAATGTTAAGGTAGAGAGTTTTGAAAAATTATATAGGAAAACAGAGAAGCCAGTAGTAATGAAGAAAAAGAGAAACACACAAACAAACATGATTTGATTCAATTAAAGGCTGACCTCCTAATTCCAGGTATGAAGCCAGAAGAATTTTTTTTTCCTCAGATGAGCAACGCCTTACCTAAGGAACACAAGCGTAGCGGACTCTGGTCCTCTCCTGGTCCCTTGGGGAGGGAAAGGGGGGAGGGGGTGTCTTGAAGTAAAGGTTTTGTGGAGAAATGAGTGAGAGCGGGGGGTGTTCTGCCAGCCTATGGGCCTCCAGGAAACAGACTCCTTCCTTTCTGCCAGGGGACAAAGAGTACTTCCAATGAGCCAGCCTCGGTCAGCACCATGGCGGCACATGGACCGAGCACACATCCTGTCTTCTGTCACCATCCCAGAGAGCTGGCCTCTGGACCTTCTCTTTTATGCGACCCAGTGAATACGGTCCCGACTGCTGTTAAGAATAGCCAATCACTCCAGGGATGAGCTGCCTGGGCCCAAAATATCTGCCAATCTTTTAAGGACAGAGAGCTAATATTAAATCATATTCCCACATTTCAATCATGGTGGATGAATCCAAGCTGCATCAGCTCCCTATGTAATTAAGGCCCTTAGATTTCAGTGGACTTAGAAATCATCTGGCAATCAAAGAAAACAGGTCTTATTCAAAGGCATCTTTGTTCAAGGGTGAGATTGTGCCATAATCCACTCACCAAGGCAAATAGTTACTCTCACATAATGGGGATGTATTTTACAACAGTACAAATGTCATATGTCCAGCAGCCAATTATTTAGAAATAATATTTTGATTTCAGGAACAGAGTAAGAACTCAGTACGAGCTAAGTGCTTTTCAAATATTATTCCACATAACCCTCACACTAGCTCTATATAATAGGTACTATTATCCTGTTTTATGGAGGTATGAACTAAGACTCAGAGAAGTTAAGTAAACATACCAAGATCACACAGCTTGTAAGTGGGAAAACCCCTATTTGACTATCTAATCCAAGAGCCCCTACCCCCATTAACTCCACCACACGGGTCGAGGCTTGATGTTTCTGACTCGAAGGATGATGGAACAGGAATAAGTTAATGTTTTAGAACCTCAGGGGTATCTCCCTGGTAGTTAACAACTGCATGTAGATTTGTCAAAAGCATGGCACCATGGGTATAGCTACAAGAGTCCGGCCAAGTGAAGGGCAAGTAACAGCTCTCTCTTGGTAAATAAATATTTGATGGGTAAATGGATGTATGGATAATTAGGCAAGTATTATTCTTCTAATAAGAAATTAGGAAATGCTTCCAAAAAATAAAAATGATTCCCTTCCATTCATGGATTCAAGTTAAGTGGCTGGTCACCAACCACATGAAGACTTCCTCACCTAACCCCAAATATAAAGCATTGTATAAGTGGTCTGCAGGAAGGGTGACAGTTTGCCAGGTGGTTGGGATATGACAGACAGTCCTAAGTTTTGACTCGGAGTGTGGGGAAGGGGCTTCTGGAGTCCATATATGACCAGATAACAGTCCATTTATAGCCAGGGGACTTGGCTGAAACTAACTGGCAAACTGGATATGGACTTCGTGACCTTGTCTTCCGTCACAATTTTGATTCATTGAACATATCACTAATTGAGAAAGCCAGTGGGAACACTCAAACATGTAATGCAATACCAAGGGATAGTCAGTGCCAAGAAGAACAGCAAGAAATAAACGCTTGTTTGGTTCATGTGCCAGAGTGGAAGTATGGTTTAGTCCCCATCCAGGATGATTCTACATCCTGCTGGTACTGGCTCAATTCCAGTTCTAACATATCCACTCCCTTCATCGATGAAAGGTTGCTTGAAGCTAACATCTCACCTGTGTGTCAGCTGAGTGTGTGGGAAAGCAGATGCCAAGAAAAATTTAGGAGTGCAAAGGGTTTATTGAGGAGTAACCTTATGGAAGGATAAAGGAGGAAGTACGATTAGACAAGGGGAGTAGCCAGACCAAGATGCAGACCTGACAAGGAGCTCTGGAGCTTGTTAGAAGAATCCTGTGTCAGGCAGGAATGGATAGGACCTTGTAGCACAGTCCTGCTTAGTCACAGGCTCGGCGCA